ATGAGCTCTTCAGTGAGGAGTTTCCAGTCCAACTGGGAAGCTAGAACAGAAATGATCAAATATGACCTGCAATACATGACAATACATGGGAAGTGAAGAGAGACCCACCATGCTAACCATATCACTTTGGGACAATGCACACACTCCTTGGCCATCTAACACAGGCAGGGCACAGTACCACTGTCTGCATCTGATGCTGGGGATAGGTACTTACTGCTGCCCATTGTGTGTGTCATTGGGATAGACATGCATCTCTATGGGAACCATACTTCCCATGGTGCTCCCACACTTAAGCCTGGTTCCCAAGAACCTGGGCTCTCCTTCACCTTAGAGGTCAGGTGATTAGGTATCCTCTCTAGGATCCAAAGTGTACCCCAGGATCTAGACTTCAGTCTAAGTCAATTACTCACTGCCCCTACCTCCAGGGTGTTATGTTTTTGCCTCTGATGAATTCTTTCAGCAGCCCTTGGCATTCTCAAATAGACAACCCTGCCTTTCAGAGGAAAGCCAGGTAGATCACATCTCCCTCAGAGTCTTCCTTTATAATGGCAAGGCCCCAGTGAGCACTCTTTCCTCTGACTGGAATAGTATTGCTTGGGCAATGAATCCAACTGCTTGATGAGCTTTCATCTACTAGTATCCTTTGTTTAAACTTTTATTTTTGCAGGTCATAAAATATGGACTACATCGTAGTTTAGCTTAAATAACTGTCAAAAACCAGACAGGCAGCTTTTTTAAAGTCCTGGAAGAAATGATGGGTTAGACATAAAATCAATACATACATTCAAAAATACATTCAGCATCTTTAGTCACCAGGGAACTGCAGGTCTACACTGAGAGTCTGTCTCACCCTATTCAGAATGCCTATCTGAATCCAGGGAGCCAACAAGATGACTCAGTAGATAAAGGTTCTTGCCATCAAGGCTGAAGACCTGAGTTCAGTCCCAGGGACCCACATGGTACAGGGCAAGAACTGACTGCCACAGGCAGGAAATGACACATGTGGCCCCCCACCCGCCTCCACTCATGCACACAAAATAAACATGTGGTACGTATACACAGTGGAGCTTATTTAGGCCTTATAGGAGAATAAAATTATGTCACTTGCAAGAATATGGATGGAATTGAAGATCATCCTGCTGAAGAAAACAAGACAGACGCAGAAAGGTAAGTTTTATGTACTTTCTCTCATATGCAGAACCTAGGTATCTCCCCTCCTCACCCCTTATCACTATCTCACACACACACATGCATGCACACAAGCACACACACCAGGAAAATGGAATGGAAATTACTGGAAAGAGTGAGGGGAGTACTGGAGGAGAGGAGTTAGGGAAGGGTGAAGAGGAGAGAATACGGTCAAGGAACACAACACGTTTGGAAATGTCATTACGAAATCCATCATTTGTTGACTCACACACTCATGAAATGTTTAAAGTGTACTTGATTATATCCATTTACATGTATGTGGCAGGGGAGATACAGGCCACATAAGGGCAGGTGTCCGCAGAAGCCTGAACAGGGCACTGGATCCTGGAACCATAGTTACAGGTGGTTCAGCCACCTGATGTGTGAGCTGGTAACGGAACTTACACCCTCTGCAAGAGCTGCAGGAGCTGCACTTGCAGCTCAGCCATCTCTCCGCCCGAACAACATTTTAAGTAAAGGCAGAATTCGATAAATTCTGTAATGAACCAAAGAATGAGACAGGGAGGTTAGTTTAATAAGGAAGAGCAATTTGTTGCTAAGTCTCTGACAATGTAGCTACCTACAGCACATAGCACAGCTTCCTGTGAGAGTCTCCACCTACACACAGCACAGTGCCCTGAGTGTGTATCTACCCACAGCACACAGCACAGTGTCCTGAGAGTGTATCTACCCACAGCACACAGCACAGTGTCCTCGAGTGTATCTACCTACACCACTTAGCACAGTGTCCTTGATTGTATCTAATTACAGCACATAGCACAACTTCCTGTGAGAGTCTCCACCTACAGGACACAGCACAGTGTCCTGAGAGTGTATCTACCTACAGCACACAGCACAGTGCCCTGTGAGAGTCTCCACCTACAGCACACAGCACAGTGTCCTGAGAGTGTATCTACCTACAACGCACAACACAATACCAGCTCTACACAGTCTCTGCTCACTCCTACATGATGCAATTCTGTTTGGAACCCTACTTTCAAGGTTACTCAAGGTGTCAATGCTGTTGTGATCCTCTTAGAGGAAATGATCTAAATTACAAAAGTTCAGGTTCAGTTTCAAGGAGTCTCATACTAAGCACATAGTTAAAGCATAAATGTGTGAGTGACAGCTGACAGCTCTAAGGCAGCACCCGTATCCAGAAATCAGCCTCAGAATGTTACATACATTATCTCCCTCAACCACGGCCATAGTACCTTATAAAAATAAACTTGCCCGGCGGTGGTGGTGCACGCCTTTAATCCCAGCACTCGGGAGGCAGAGGCAGGCGGATCTCTGTGAGTTCGAGGCTAGCCTGGGCTACAGAGTGAGTTCCAGGACAGGCTCCAAAGCTACACAGAGAAACCCTGTCTCGAAAAACCAAATAATAATAATAATAATAATAATAATAATAATAATAATAATAAAATAAAAATAAACTTACTATAGGCATTTCTTAGAAGCAGAGAGGAAGGTCAAGAGAATATAGAGACCTTGTCCACCCCCAATTAGTAAAGCTGGATTCCAACCCAAAAATCTCCTAACCACACACTAACTGCATAGATCTGCCTCTTTGTCCTCCCAGCCCCAGAGAGACCATGTAGATAGTGCCAAAAACGAACTACAACCCCTCAGGAGGGCAGAGACCAAAGGCATCCTTGGGGCACCTGTCTACCCTCCCACTATTCTCTACTCATCCTCCTCCTGCTCCTCCTGCTCCTCCTCCTGCTCCTCCTCCTGCTCCTCCTGCTCCTCCTGCTCCTCCTCCTCCTGCTCCTCCTGCTCCTCCTCCTCCTGCTCCTCCTCCTGCTCCTCCTCCTCCTGCTCTTGTTCCTCCTCCTCCTGCTCCTCCTCCTCCTGCTCTTGTTCCTTCTCCTGCTCCTCCTCCTCCTGCTCCTCCTCCCCTCCCTTCTGCTTTCAAAGGCTCCTTCCCAGGATGGATTGGGTGCCAGGAGGACCACAATCTAGTCCACCAGCTGTCTTTGCCCTGTGTCTTATTTCAAACATGAGAACTGTACAATGTGAACTTACCAAGCCTTTTTAATGGTTGTGGATTGGAAATAAAGTCTGTCACATGAGCAGCTTTTAAAACGTACACCAGTGCCATTGCTCAGAAGCGCCACTTGACTCTGATTCCTCTTCAGACATCACACTGTTCCATTCCCTACCGTCCCTAGCATTTTGTTCCCACATGTGTGAAGCTAGAATAAACCTGTTTCTTTTCAGCTGGCTGGTAAAGGCACCCAGGTCTCCAGGGCTAGACATGAACTGGCAGAGATAATTGATCAAGTACCACACTCCAGCAACCATTGTGTCACTGGGAGCTCCATAAATAAAATGCAGTGAGTGAAATGCACAGCCTGACTGAGCTTGATGACTCAAGATGGGGGAGGGAGGGCAAAAGGCTTGGGAGGGGGCAGCAAGAGGGCTCAGTGGGTAAAGGCCCCCAGGTCTGATGCTGTGAGTTCCGTCCCCAGGGTCCACATGTGGAACAAAAGACCCAATTCCTGCAAGTTCCTCTGACTTCCACGCTTATCACACACACACACACACACACACACACACACACACACACACACACACACGTACATGCATGTAATAATTGTCTAATGCTGGCAGTTGGAAGTAACATTAAATATAAAAATCATGACTGTCAGTTATCAGGAAATGTGTAGAACACAGTCCCAGCACATTGAAGACTTCTCCAGCCTTCTGTGGCTCCTGTAACAAGTTCCAGCAACTCGGTTGCTCCAAGCGACAACAATGTTCCTCCAGGCCTGGAGGCCAGAAGTCAGTGTCAGCCTGGCTGTGCAGGGAGGATTTCTCCTTCGCTCTCAGTGGCGCCTGCTGGCCATCAGCATTTCCAGCAGCGATCAGCATGCCTTGGCTCCTGGCCACATCAAGCCAATCTCTCCTCCTTCTTCACATCACACATGTGTCTTTTATGAGGGTTCCTGTCATGGATGCAGGACCCACCCAAGTGATCAATAATTTCCCCATCCCAGGAACTTTGATGTTTATATATTCTGAAGATTAGGTTGAGGACATATCTTTAGAGGGCATCGTTCAATTCTCTACATTGCCGTTATCCAAAAACCAGTAGTCAAATCAGTCGGATTTGCGGCTCTGCCCACGTGAGAACAGCCTCCTCTCTGGCCACGCCCCACCCCACCCTCGCCCCACCCCACCTCTGCGGCTCATTCGGCTGTGCCAACTGCCCAACCAACGGAGAGGGAACAGCCGGGGGTCAGAAGCCTGTGCTAACCCGCCCAGTGTGGGAGAAGGGCAAAGCAGTCAGGACATGACCTCCAGCTAAAGTTGGTTTCTTGTTGCTGGCCCTCCGGCATAAAATAGACTTCAAATTCACATGGAATTTGATTTGTGAAATCAAATTGACTTCACATCCTGCTTTGATTTTTTTTTTTCCTAAATCACAGTTTTAAAGCTTCGTGTTGCATGGTGGTTTTCTGGGAATCTATATCATGCCCTCGGCAACAGTTCGAGTCTCCATGGCGAGTTGCTCATGCATCCATTTTACATTTCCTTTCGCTGGGATCCCTTCTCCTCAGGGGAGGAAGAGGAAATTCAGGGTTTGTGCGTGGATTTTACATTCGCACACTTCAAATCATGGACTGAAGTCCAGTGCTGAGCTTTACTTGTGGGTAAAACAAAACAAAAACAAGAGGCGAAGTCAAGACTCAAATGCAACCCAAAAGTGAAAATTGATCAACCAGAACAACCGTGAGTAACCCAGAATGACCGCTAGGGGGCACTGTAGTTAAAAAAAACCTCCAGAACAAAGTCAAAACCCCTCATTTGGGTAAACATGGATCATTTTATTAACACTGCCAAAAAGGAACTGTTTCTGAAAAATGAAATGCCACTGTTTCTCAGACTTAGCAAGACGATTTCACAAGACACTCCTGAAAAAACAAACAGTCATTTTCTGGCCGCAGTAGCTAGAAAGTAGCTGACTCACGTGTGCGGAACTGGCCCTAATCTAAGGTCAGTGTGGATGTGATCAGGACACCCGAGGCAGCCCAAGAATGCGTACCAGACTTCGGGCCTGAGATAACACGAGGGTCTTGTAAATGTCCTCTGTGGCTCTGCCCAGAGGAAAACATCCTCCTCCCTGGCCACCCCACCCCACCTCCGCTGATACTCAAAAACATGGAGATGTACGCAGCTCACGGACACCTAAGAAAGTAAGATTTAGGAGTGGCAGGCGTTTAATTTCATAATGTGTCGCATGTTGCCAGCTGCGGCTGAGTGCAGACTCAACCTCGTTGTAGAAGGGGTCACTGTGACAAAAAGAAAAAGAAAAGAAAAAGAAGGTCAAGTAGGCATTTTCCTTGTAGCCGACGCAGAGGGAGGGACGTGCAGAAAATTAGCGGCGGAGACCAGACACTCACGCTCTGATTCAGTCCAAAGCCGATGATTTTTTTTCATTAGTCATTTTCAAAACAGATACATTATTCATTAAACTAAAAATAGACTCCTAGCCTAGGAGTTGAACACCCGAGGGCTAGGACCAGGCAAACGGAAACCAGGACTGACATTTCACACAAAGCTCAGCCTATCTATCTGCGCTTGAGGATGCGCAAAGCTTGCTGCAGGCCGGCCTTCCCTGCCTTTTGGAGGCATTGTTCTCACGGAGAACTCCCCAGTGCCTGGGGCCGGGGACACACTTCCTTCGCTAGGTCAGAGCTGTGCTCTGGACGGCATTCCAAACTGCATCGACCTCCGGACTGCCCCTTCCTGTGAGGGTGGCTTTATTTGGAACGAGGGTCTTCGCAGATGTAAGCAAGTTAAGAGGAGGTCAGGGAGAGTCCTGGTCCCACGTGACTGAGGTCTTCCTGAGCAGGGGACATGCCTGTGGGGCAACAGAGGCGAAGATTGGAATGGCATGTGGACAAAACAGGAGCCACCCTGGACGGGCGGACAGCCCAGCGAGGAGTCAGGCGGGAAGTGCTGACCTAGCCCTGCTTGCAAGCCTCCGGAGCCGTCCCTCCCCGGGTCTTGATCAGGACTCTGGGACTGTGAGAACCCAGGGTTCTGTTGTTAAGCCACCCAGCTTGTGGGGTTTGTTCTGGCAGCCCCAGAACACCGTCACCCAAGTCAGAAAAGGTCAGCGGAGTTGAAAACGCCTGAGAAGAGACACTTAACTAACCCAAGGTCCTTGGGAATTCTCTCTGTGCTTGTCTCCCGGTCTCCCCCTCCTCTCTATTCAAACCCCAGTTATTTTTAACAGAGAGCGTTGTTTTTATTTCTCTCCAAGTGAACCGCTCGTGGTGATTTCTGGAGCCATGTGTGTTACTTTGCAGGTCTCCTTAAAGACCTAAACACCACACCGTCTGGTGAGCATTTCAGACGACTGTGTTCCCTTGGGTCACCCAAAGTATTTGCTGTATTTTTTTTCTTGTTCTTCACGATGGCAAAAAAAGGGGGAAATAAGAGAAAGGTATTTAGACAGTGGATATAGGTCATTTCCTAAGAAGTGTGTGGTTCCAGGTTCAATCTGTTATACAGGAAAAAAAAGGAGGAGGTGGTGGAGGAGGAGAGGGTAGGGAGGAAGGGAGAGGGGGAAGGAGGAAGGGTGGTAGGGAAGGAGGGAGGGAAAAAGTAGAAAAAGATGAAAGAGCTCTGAGAATGCAGAGAAGAGATGTTTCCTCTCTAAGTCACACAGCCTTATGACAGTGGGTGAACAGAGCTCGGGAGGCCGGTTCTCCAGCTCCCTATATCACACAACTATGTTCTAGTCTTAATTTCCCCTTGTAAGAATGAATAGATGTCCCCAAATGACAGCCAATAAGCAGCTAGCTGCTTCTGGGAGGTCTTTGGTGTATGGTAACACGCCACCTGAGGACTTTGGTCAGTGATCGATGGCAGGCGGATGTAACGGGGGTCCCGTAAGACTCGGCAGAGCTGAAAAATTTCCTCATCTGGTGTCGTTAGTGGGTTACAACTGCCCACGGCACACGGCAGTTAGGGATGCACCGCCGTAATTTAGAAACTGACGATTGTACCATATAGCCTGCGTGTGAAGTAGACGATCCCATCCTGGGTTACAGATGTGAATCTGCAGCCCCAGGGTTACAGACGTGAATCTGCGGCATTCGTGGAAGGGCAAACCTGCTATCCTAACCATGAATTTCCTAGAATGCATTTAGGTACACAGCTTAGACAGAAATGTCTCTGGCTTCCGAGAATTGATAGATTTCAAACGGAATAGGCTGAGGACATGGCCATGCTCGCGTGCTCCACTACTTACAAGAATTTCTCTTTCTGCCCATTCCATTCTGTGGAAAAACCACCCCACCCTCAGAGCAGTTGGAAGGAGCAGGCACAGCAGAGCTAAGGCTTGTCCCCTCATGTCCTGGCTCCACCTGTCCCTGATACACGGAGGTCCTTAGCCAATTCGTCTAGGCTTATCTCTGCACCATGGTCACTCAGGACTTCTTAACGGGGGCTCAGTGTTCTCTCTGCCAGAGGCATGCTGTCTCCCGTTGGAGTCCTGCCTCAGGGGTCTGACCCAAAGGAGAACAATATCCCTGGTAACAGTCTCTCCAGATAGTAGCGTCCCTTGTCCTTGTGGGTTTCCGCAAAGTTGCAACACACTTGCGTTCCTGAACGCACTGAAGAACATCCAGGAGAAATTGAAGAAAATCATAGGAATAGAAGCCCATGTGGAGTTTTCCCACAACTCTGCCATTTCTCATCCAAACTCCACACACAATTCAGACAGTAAAAATCTCTATGAAAAGTGCCATCTCACCTCCTCTACCAAGCACACACCCTACACAACTCACCCCGTGTGATCAAAGGCATTTGTGACCCAGGGCCTGGTCTCCTGATGAGTGGTAGATGATCGGGTACTCGCTTGGGGCTTTGAAAGGCAGCCTCGGGGAGTGGTTCAGCCCCAGACAATCCCACAGAATGGAGTCATTACTGGAGCTATAACCACAGAATAGCCATGACACTCAGGCAAGATGAATCAGGCACACATCACCGTCTCTGTTGATCTCAGTGAAAGCAAACTGCCGGCAAGATTGATGACGCAGGATGAGGCCAGATAAGGATGCACGGAACAGGAGAATACCAGCAGGGAGAAGAGGGGAGTTAAGAAACCTGTGGGGCTGGAGCTAGGCAACTGTTAGGAAGTAGAAAAGACGTGTGTGGGAGCTGCATGTCCTGGGAATAAGGAAGGCAGAGCTCTCATGAGAAACGGTTGTGTTGGGGGTCATCCAGATGCCACACAGGTAAAGACTTTTGCCACCAAGCCTGGCAGTCTGAGTTTGACCCCCAGAACCTGCATGATGGAAGGAGACAACTCTTGCGAGTGGTCCCCTGGCTTTCATATGACCACCACAACACACTTGCCCACCCTTGCACGTACACATATTAAAATAAATAGATGTTTAAAAAAATTAAAGATGGAGTGCAGGTCCAAAGAACATGGAAAATTCCTCAGTTGATGGTGAATTAAGAAGGAAGGCCGGCAGACGAAATACGATAATAGTCAACGCTGCTCAGGTTAGACCCAACACATGCTAAACACTTTGAGTGTATCTTCTCGTGGAATCCTCCAAATACTGCATCATATGAAGGTTCTGTGAACCACCTTTCAGAAAAGAGCTAGCAAACCTAAAAACATGAAGGAAATAATCTAAAGATGGACAAAATCAAAATTGGAACTCAAGTCTCAGCTGTGGTAGCCAGAGTACTTAGTGTGAGCACACACACACACACAGCCACCACCACTTAATTGAATTGGGGATGACAAGACCTAGTCACCAGAATCTCACACATAGTGAGGGTGAAGGGCTACAAGAAGCATCACAAAGCACGGAATTCTCAACAGAGCACATACATAACATAACAGAGCGTAACAGACAGGAAGTGACCGTGGGTTGTTGACAGAATGCACATACCCAGCCCAGTGGAGGAAATTTGGTCAAAGGGAAGAAGGGAGAGCCCACAGAAGGGACTTCAGAAAGAATGGGGACAGAAAAGGGATTACTCCCCAAGGAATAAAGGAGTAAGAGTACAGGAGTCCCCAGGAAAGCAGGGGGTGACAGCTGAGGGGTTGCAGAACTCCAGTGATGCTGGGAGGCAGGGGTGCGCAGGGATGAGCAGGCCCAGTACCACTCACCCGCACCCAGGGTCCCTCAAGAGTCCTGCTGTTTCCCTGTCGCTGAAGATACCAGGACACTGCCGGGGGACAGTGTGTGGGTATCAGGCAGAAGAGGCATGCAGGGGCCACAGACTCAGGGAAGAAAGGAGGAGCATTGATCCTCACTGCTGGTGACCGGGAACTGCCAAACCTCACCGGAGACTTAGCTGCTCTAGGAAGTTTACCCTGGTGCGGCAGGAGAGGTAAACAGTGCCCGGAGTACATTCCTCTTTTCCCTGGAACATCCAAAACAGAACCGTTTGCTTGGAGTGTGGTTGAACGCGCTGCTTATTTGGAATAGGTAGGACAAGGCACTCCCCCGAAACAGCAAGACCTAGTAATTACAATGTCAAAAGCCTCAAACTGTACCCACAGCCCCCTGGGTAAGGTAGGAAGTATGTGGCAGCCGCATGAGTCATCTCAGGATCGCTGCTTTTGGTCTATTCTTCTGTCTCCTGACTGTCTCTTTGGTCAGATTTCTACTTGGGAACCGTCTCACACACCCAGCCACTAACTATGTATCACAGGCTTTCCCAATCATCTTGTACTCCTGCCGCTGTGCCTGGCCCCTGCTAGGCTGGAACATGGTAAAACAGTTTGGGAGAGTGGTTTGAAGGTTCCAGGAAAGGGCCTTATAAAAGTCTCCAAGGAAAATGCTCTTAAATTAGATGTCATTCCCCTACTCTGTTCCGTTCTCCTGGGTGGCTCTTTAAAGTTGGAAACAACCACTACATGTTAGCACCACTAACATTGTAATAAACCAATCATTCCTCTTGGCCATTCTTCACTTTCTTTCTTTCTTTCTTTCTTTCTTTCTTTCTTTCTTTCTTTCTTTCTTTCTTTCTTTCTTTCTTCTCCTTCTCCTTCTTCTTTTGTTACTTGTTTGTTTGTTTTCATTTTTTCCTGGAACATCCCTGGCCCCATGTTTGAAAAGAAGGAGGCATTTTTGAAGGAAATGCAACAAAGATTTTCCCAAATAAGCAGTCTATCTAAATTTGGAGGGGGTCCATCTCAGCAGATGGTTCTGTGTAACTGAGGGGGATTCCAGAGTTCCAAGGCAGCCTTGACCCCAAGGAACGACAGTAGGTTACTCTTCTCTCTGTGGCTGATACAGGCCCACGCTCTCTCTCATAAGGAGTGCGGTCATATTGAGCCACTGCAGCAAACTAGGACCCTGACAAATTGTCTTCTATTATCATTGAAAGTGTCAAGTGTAGACAACAGAATGAAGGAAGAGACTGTTAGTCTCTGTGCCAGTTATCCAGTTTCAGTAGCCAGCAAACATCCACTCACTGTGATAACTGTATTCAGTAGATATGGGAAGGAAGAAAGGGATGGAAAGATGTGTTGTGTGTGTGTGTGTGTGTGTGTGTGAGAGAGAGAGAGAGAGAGAGAGAGAGAGAGAGAGAGAGAGAGGAGGGAGGGAGGGAGGGAGGGAGGAGTGGAGGGAGAGGGGGAGAGAAAGGGAAAGGGGAGGGAAGAAGAGTGACGTTCATTGCAAGCCAGAGCACGTTCCCTGCTCCCTCCATGTTTGTCCTCATGTTTCATCCCACACTGAAATAGTTTTTATTACAAATTACATGCTCGTCGTTTGGCAACACTCCTCTAGAGTAATCATTTCAATTAAGATTTCAGAGAAATCATTAGGAGCCTCATTACCAGGCAATCTGTTTCATTGTAAGTTATTCTGAATGTGACTCTAACACAAGACTGATGATTTATGCCAAGATCCCATTTTGCTTGTTGGGGTTTTAACCTCGTGCAGCAAATTCCAGTAAGAAGCGTAGAGGTTTCCAAGCCGAAGAAATGATGGCAGTGGTGGGATTGGCAAGGGGCAGAGGGAGGGAAATGCACGTCCCATAGATTTCAGAAAACTCCAGCCAATTCAGAGGGATGGGCATGGCAGACTGTTGAAAGATAAAGGCCCGCGAGGCGTCATTTTAGGATGAATGAATGGAGACAATCCTAGGGCAGCCTAAGGTGTCAGAACTGACCTCTGTTTGGAGTCAGGGAGCATGGGTTTCCTCCTCCCCAAACGTCTCCTCCTCCTCCTCTGCTTCTTCTTCCTCCTTCCTTCATTCCACACTACTACGCTCTCTCCCTTTATTGCCTTGTTTTAAGAGCATGCCCGGACTTAAGAAGAACAAATTACCATTTATGTTAGCCCATGCTTTACAGAGTTTCAGTGGGGTCATTAGAAGGTGAAAATGAAAGTGAAAAATAGACGCAGGGAGCCCTAATTTTAGCTCATGGTCTTACCATGCCGTTTATTACCAGAGTCATGAAACCATGCATTATGGGATCTGGCGAACTCAAATGACCAAACCAAAATACTGTCCACGTCTACAACTACAAACATAGGTTTTACAAGACATTGCTCAAGGCCAATGAAATCTTGGCCAGCGAGGTCTCCACCTCCCCATGGAATCCTCCCTAAAGTAAATGCTTATGGTAGATCTGTCTACAATGAATGCAGACCCTGGGAAGATGGATGGAAAGTCTACCCCATCTCTTTCTCTCTCTCTTTCTTCACCACCACCCCCTGCACCTCTCTCTACCTCATTATTGTTGTCTCAACATCTAAGCTCCCAGTTTCTGCTCCAGGGCCATGCCTGCCTGCCTGCCACCATGCTGGCCACCATGATTGTCATGGGATCACCCTCTGAAAAGGTGAGACCCCATAAACTCCTTGTTCTATAAGTTGCCACAGTCATAGTGTCTTAGCACAGCAATAGAAAAGTAACTACGACACATGTGCACTAACCCACAATGATAAGTACATATTAAAAACACATACACACTACACACAATGATCACACACACACACACACACACACACACACACACACACACACCCTTGTTTGTAAGAGTGAGGGAAAGGTCAGTCTCCCCAGAGACCATGGCTTGGGATGTGTGGTTTTTCAGTGACTGTAAGTTCCAGGATGACTTTTCTTCCGTTCTCAAGCAAAGAGAAGACTGGATGGTTTTCCCAAGGTCAGAAGTTACCAGGGGGCACTAAACCACATCAGGGGTTGGTTGGCCTCTGCTCTCATGGATTAAAATCTAGATTGTATGAACATGGGAAATCCATTCTTTGACCTAGAAAAAGGGACACCTGTGTCACAGACCCCCATAAAGATGGAATGCTTTGATACTCTTAAAATGCCTGATTTAAGGACTACATCACAATGTTAGCATGCTCCTTCCAAAAATACTATCATTTCAAGCATCAAGGAATCTGGGAAGCTTGCCTTTCTGGAACAAAAGTTAATAGCTGAATCCAAAATATTTCCCACCATAACTCATTACTCATCAAAGCATGACAGGCATACACGTTTGGGTGAGTACCACCAGACACACTCAGGAGCTAGAAGTACTACATCGTCCATTGTGTTCATTTATATCTCTCCCATATTTGGTCTGAGTTACTTATAACTAAAAGAAATGGCATCAGTTAAACCAAGTTAAGAAACTGATGTCTTTACAAAGTTTATGTTGCTAATTAAATTAAGGTTTGTAGCGGATCAAGGACAAATACTGAGTTCAAAAAAAAATGTTCCCTTTGATCCCAGGCTTCTGTACTTCAAAGGCTAACTGGAAGGCTCTTGCAGGAGGAGGGTAGTACTCCTTTCCCACTGTGCAGGGCTCCGGGCACAAGGAAGACAAGGACCCTGGAGACTTCTGTGGCAGCGCTGGGGGATAACTTCAGTGACAGGGCTGCCCAGGCCAGGCTCTGACGTCAGACGACTCCGGAGGGTGATGAGTCAGAAGATGCAGCTTTGGGGGCTGATTCTGCCATGGCTCACATCTCATGAGAACGTTGTTGGATGTCCATTTCTCATAGGAATGAGACGGTGACGTCTAACCTACCTGTCTTGAAGCTTTGATACAAAGGTGATGCATGGAGTTTAAATACACTGAAAAAAGACTCTGAAATAGAACTCAGGGGGAGGGAGGCTCAAGTCATTTGCTTTGTCTCCTGGGAATAAGTAACACATGCTTGTATCCCCCATGTTTTGTACACAGGATATACTCCATAACTCTGAGTGGAGGAAAGAAAGAAGATGGTGCTGAGGGACGGGCCCAGGGACTCTGCAGACAATATTCATCCTCCCTTCCTTTGGAATTAAGCCCCACCATGCCCATGCAGCTCTGTCCCCACTTGAGCCTGTGCTGGATGTGACATCCTGGCAGGAGAAAAGACATCTGATAAAGACATTCCCTTTTACTATCAAACCATTGAGTGAACGGCCCCAAGGGATAGAAATTTCCCCAGGAGTCTCATGCTGGTGGGAGGAAAAGGCAGAAGTCTGGTGCCAAAGGAGGAGCTGGTCTCCCTGGAAGAGACAAGCCATCAGACCGCCTTCCAGGATCTTGAAGCTGAAACAGTGATGACTGGGGGCACATCGTGACCAGACTGGCTTAGATAGGAACACCTCTTGCTCTCTACTTAAACCTAACCCTCATGTCAGGACCCTGAAAGACAAATGTGAGGAATCCCTAAGCCTCCTTCTTCCTCTTCTCAGTGTGGCTGTGCTGGGTAAACCTCCCTTTCCTGCTTCTCCCTCTTCCCTTTGTTTCCCATGTGTCCGTTGAGGATGAAGGGACAAGCCTACCGTTAATAACGGGCTGTCAGGGTCAGCGGAGAGCAACATGTCCATGACTCAGGCAATGGGAGCGTCAGGGAAGGAGGAGGCATCTGGGAATGGATGAAGGAAGAGTCATCCGTCAGCCCAGGCAAGAATCCTGGCAACTGTGAGGAGGGAAAACGATTTCCTGTGACGGCTTCGCGTAGGAGGGAGTCTCATGCCAGCTCACTGCATCCCATACTGCTGAGCAAAGGCTCTCAACATCTCCCTGGGTCCACATTTACCTCCCACTGGGCTGGACATCTATCTGTTTCCACACTTTTGTAAGTCTAGATGTCAAACTCAACTTATCAGTGAAACACAACATCAAGTTGTCCTAAATGCTAACAAAAGACAGTTGGGGATACTGGAGAAACCCAGCCCCCGACTGGATGATAAGGAGGGAATGCGTAAGGACTGGACACAGCATCCGTTTAGAGTTGTTCTCAAAGCTATACTGTACCGTTGGACGGTTTGTTCTGACCCATTTAGAGATGTTCTCAAAGCCAGCCTTTACCATTGGACAGTTTGTTCTGACCTTTGGACAAAGTTGCTTTGTTTTGTTTTGTTTTCCCAATTTGAGATAAATGAGCTGATGCTAGAGAGCAGGCTGGGCTTTGCTAGAGTAGGACACCAGTGGAATCCTCTTGTGGGTTCCACCATTTGGGACCACAATATCCACTGCTGTCCCCAGGCTTAGATGGCTGTTTCTTCCTCTGATGTTGAGCTGGTTTCTGACCAACAGCTACAGTGAATCCGCCCTTGGCAGAGGACTGAGTCACTCAGGTACTGAGAGAGAGCCGTTTTCAAAATGCCCGTTATCGCCGAGGATGTGTGAGGCTAAAAGTATAGGTGACAGGTGTGACCTAATGTAGCTCCAAACAGAAGTTCACGCGCTTCTCTCACTTGACAAGAAGTTTAGAGACAGGTGAACAGGGCTGTGCGGCTCTCTGCAGTCATCCCTGCCTTGGAAGACAGTGGTGGTGTAACAAAAAAGAACAGAACCTTGGCCACATCTCCCTGAGGTTAAGTCCTGTGTTCCTGGGTTATAAAGATGCCACAAGTTGTCTACCACCCCAGCCTCAGTTCCTCCTCTGTCAGCTAGACAGAACAATACCTCCCTTGTGGCCTCGCTGTTAGCATTAGTTGGTTAAGTCAACTAAGTGCTTATCTAGAACTCAGCATGGAATGAGGACTGTACGAATGTTAGTTCTTACGATTTTTAACCTATTTGAAGCTTCTTCTTAGCATTCTAAGACAGTTACCAAGCAGCAACCTTTCATGGGGCACATGGCGATGGGTACACCGAGAAACAAAGGAAGGGACAGGACAGAACTGGTAAGAAGTAATGGTGGCCTGAGCTTCTGGGCATTTCTCTCTTTAACAGGAAAATAGTCTTCCCCAGATCTCCACCCCTCATGTTGGATCCTCTAGACTGGTTCACATGGTAATTCCCAAGCTGATCCTTGGCATGCAGATGCAATTATCAGAGTTTAGACTCTATGTGCTATATAGCATGATAGCTACCAGCCATATAAAGTATTTTCTATTTTATGAGAGAGAGAGAGAGAGAGAGAGAGAGAGAGAGAGAGAGAGCCTACAATGAAGATGCTTGCTTGTTTGTTTTTGAAGACGAGTTATTTTTAATGAAGATTTATTTTTATTTCATGTGTGTGGATGTTTTGCCCACATGCATGCATGCATGTGCACCACATGTGTGCAGTGTCCATGGAGGTCAGAAGAGGGTGTTAGATCTCCTGGAACTGGCGTTACAGATGCCATAGAGATGCTGAGAGCTGAACCTGGGTCTTCTGCATAACAAGTGTTCTTGTCTGCCTAGTTATCTCTCTCCAGCCTGAAATTTCTATTTTAAACTAATTAAAATTAAGTTTTCAGTTGCTCGGTAACAAAGGCCGAATGTTAAGGGCTCATTAGCTCATAAAGCTGGTATTCACTGTCAGGGATGTTAGACATGTAGACTGATAATTACCATGACAAAATGCTGAGGTGAACAGAGCTACAATCAGATTCACTCCTGGGGCTGGATAAGGACTAAACTCTCCAATACCACACTTTCCTGTGGTATCTGGACAAAATGAAGGATATGTTTACAAACCAAAGGAGGAGGTAGCCTGGGACTTGGGAATCAACAAGGAAGAAATAGCAGAAGAGAAGACCAGTGCTGTAGTTTGTACCTTAAATGTCACTCAAAGGTCTGTGTCGCCTTTCCATGGTACCATTGGGAAGTAGCAGCACCTTTAAGAGGCAAGGCTGTGTGTGGGGTGATCTTTAGGTCATTGACAGTCTGACCTCTGGAGATGGCTCAAGATCCCAGTCTTTTGTCTGTGTTTTGCTTCCTGGTCAGAGGTGAGCAGCTTTATTCTACCACAAGATCCCTGTATGAGGTATTACTTTGACCCAGCCCCCAAAAAGAACCAGGCTAAATTAATCACAGACTGAGACCTTCAAAAGGATGCATGGGAACAAAGCTTTTCTCTCTCTCAGGTAATTATCTTGGGTAGTAAAGCCAAAGCCTGTGAGAACAGTGGGTATGATGCTGTGAGAACATTGAGTGTGATGCTGTGAGAACATTGAGTGTGATGCTGTGAGAACACTGAGTGTGATGTTTGTGAAAACAGTGGGTGTGATGGTTGTGAGGACATTGAGTATGATGCTTGTGCGGACATTGAGTACAATGCTTGTGTGAACAGTGGGTGTGATGCTGTGAGAACACTGAGTGTGATGCTTGTGAGAACACTGAGTGTGATGCTTGTGAGGACACTGAGTATGATGCTTGTGCGGACATTGAGTACAATGTTTGTGAGGACAGTGGATGTGATGCTTGTGAGAACATTGAGTGTGATGCTTGTGAGAACACTGAGTGTGAGTTTGTGAGAACAGTGGGTGTGATGCTGTGAGAACATTGAGTGTGATGCTTGTGAGAACACTGAGTGTGAACACAGCCTGCAAATAAGAAGGCCAGAGGAGTGGAAGATACATCCCTGGACTTACATTTACCACTCTGGCCTCTGCCTCTGCGGCATTTCTACACATGAAGCCAGCTGACCTAATTGGGGGAGGGGGCAGTAACCAGGAAGAAATGATTAAGATCCCTTCCACCCAAATCTGTTTTAGTAACTCAAGGGGGAAAGTGATGCTTTTTCCTGCCTACAGCCTGGACCTAACGTGGTAATAAGATTCTGTAAGTTACCATGTTGACCATTTTTATGATTGTCCCATAAAATTTAGCAATAAAAACCACTTTCTGCCTCACATAATCACTGTGAGGTACAATCTATCACATGCCAAAGCTGCAGGGAAGGATTACAGATCTGCCCACACAATGCAGCAATGGGAAGATCATCATCATCTTACCCAAAGGCCCTCGGCAGCAGTGAAAGTCCCCAGAGCACCTCAAACGTGTGACGCGTCGGTTAGCGGCAGCGGCGGCACAGCTGGAACAGCTGGAGCAGCTATAATGGGTGGTGTGCAGTTGTGCACAACCACATGTGGGGCACAAGTGAAGGCTAGGATTGTGCCCAGACGCCCTAGTGCCAAAGGATGGCAGGCACCCTGCCACATTTACTTATCACAAACCTAGAGAAGCAAATCTTTCGGAGATGAGTCAGGATAATGATTCTTGAAGGCATGCACACATCAAAATCATCTGGAAAACTTCGATGCACATCTATCATTCCAGCACATGGCACTCGGGAGCCAGGATCAGGAGGCTTGTGAGTTCAAGGCCAGCCTGGAACGCATAATGAGTTCCAGGCTAACCTGGATTACATAGAAAACTGTGTCTCCAAAATAAAAGGAAAGACTGCTGGACAGTCAGGACATGACAGCAGATTGTTCCTGCCAGCTCAGGAGCATTGCTTTGAATGAATCTCTTCCCGACTCCATATTGCAAAAACGTCATGTTGGAATCTTGAAGTCAGACCTGCAAGAGAACTTAAAGCAATCAGAACTATATGGCGTTTGTTCCCAGAAGAACTAGTTACTGAGCTTCTACCAGAACACCACCAGCTGTTCCCCATCCTCAGTGTCTCTGACTCAATAAATCTTACATGGAGATTTACATTTCTATGAAGTTGCTGGGCAATACTGATCCTGCTATTTCGGAAACCACACCTTGAAAAATCACTTGGAAGAACATTTGTCAGAACCTTGAGTCAGACAATTGATTCCTCTCTCCTAACTAAATTGTGAGCCATCATCAACAAGGAGCATGCTAAGGGGGGGTTGTCCAAGTATGTTACAGATGATCAGATATCAAATTGATGCTACTAGGAGCTAAGGCATACAGAATACTGGCTAATAGGCCAGCTACTGTTGGATGTTCTCTGGGCATGGACTCATTGAACCTCACAGCATCCCTGGACTGCAGGTCCTCTGATATAGTTTCAGCTAAAGCAAAGAGCAGTTCTATGACTGACCTGTCCAAGTTTGTGAGGAGAGTTGTCAAAATACAAACATAAGCACTGTAGTTCCAAGACCAATAAATTCAACCACTGCACACAAATCACAGATGAGACCTGACTGTAGTTCTGTCGAATGTTAATCTAGGGCCAGTTCCTTTAAGGGAGGCTGATGGGCTAGAGCGATGCTCAGCATTTAAGATCCTTACTGCGCAATCATGAGAATGGGAATTTGGGTCATAGCACCAAAGTAACAAACTGGGCATCCCATACACACCCGTAACTCTAGCTCCAAATGAGGATCATGTCAGCTTCCAGCTTTGCTGTGAAAATACAAGCCTTGGGGTTCAGGGAAAGATCCTGCCTCAAAGGAATAGGTGATAGGTGATAAAGGGGAACACTCAACCACCTATTCTGATTCTACACACACACACACACACACACACACACACACACACACACACACACTTCCAG